TGTCATGTCAGAGCTCGTTAGAGCCGGTAAAAGAATTTATTCAGCTCATAAATCTTCTTCACTGGTCTGTTGTCCTGTTATGTGGCCTTGAAGCGCGGCGTGTCGTCTGTCAGTGTCGTCGCTGCTCTGTTTTTCTTTCTATCAGCAGCTGCTTCTTCCAGCGAAGCCCTCCGTCACTCCGCAGCTGTCGGCTAACAAGAGTTCAGATCTGCTTCCAGCTTTCAGTCACCCACTCAGCCAGCCAGACTCTCGTTTCTGGCTCCGTTTGTCCCCTCTCTCTCCATCTATCTTTACATCATCTTCTTCCACACTCTCCGTTTATCCATCTTCCTCCCAGTCTCTCGTTCCAACTCTCTTCCTCTCTTTTTACAACATCACAAACACCCTTTGAACATCTCCTCTTTCTCTCTCTCTTTCTCTCAGCATCTTTTTTCTCTCTCTCTCTCCCAGTCCCAGGAGTTTACCAGTCAGGCCAACAGCACATGCTGCAACAGCCGCGCTCTTGACAAGACAAAGACATTTTACCAACAAACCCGAAATAGTAGTTAATCCACGATTGCACCGCACTGGACGCCAATTCATCTGTCAAGGCCACACATGTGTATGATGGTGTGTATGTCAACGTGTGTGTGCCTGTATTTTCATATGAGGTCCATTCATCACATCAAAGTGAGTTTGTGCTGTTTTGGTTACAAAACTGTTTCCACAATGACAGCAATGCTTTTAAAACCCTGTGAGGGTCAACCAAGACATCTCAGCTTACAGCCCACTGACCTTAAATGTGTCTCAGTGTGTGTGTGTGTGTGTGTGTGTGTGTGTGTGTGTGTGTGTGTGTGTGTGTGTGTGTGTATAACTGTGTGTGCCGGGGTAAAGTTGTTGTACTTTGTTAAATTATTCCTACCTACATTACAATGCTCTGATTTTACTAAGTGGTCCTTTCATATTTTCCTGGTTTTATACTACTGATTTGCTTTAATTAGTAAAAACCTAAGAAGCCCTGATTTTAATTTTCAAAAAATATACAGTGTATTTTTTCTGATTAGTTTTTATTACATTTGAAACAATGGCAACACATTTGACAGCACAAGAAAAGTCTCTGTCCTGTAGCATATTATTGAAGCCGGAAAAACTTGAATAACATGACGTAACTAAGGTAATATAATTAAATATGTTCATAATCAACCTTTTGTACCTAAAATTCTCCTCATATTTCACCATAAGTAAGATAAAAAACATTTTCCACTGCATTGCTCATGGTGGTACTGTTGGTTCTCTGTAAATAATGTTATAAGGAGTTCAGTCTAGACCTGCTCTATTTGAAAAGTGTCCTGAGATAACGTCTGTTATGAATTGGCGTTATACAAATAAAATTGAATTGAATTGAATTGAATTGAATTAAAATGTCACTGTGATATAAAATACTTATATATAAATATATTACCTTTTTTGCTATAATTTAAAACTTTAAAAGGTTTTTTGTGTTTGATAGATGCTCATCCACCTGAACTGTCCCTGAATGGTGGAGGCCTCTGTGTGCGCTGAGGTTATTTTGGTCGGGGGTTTCTTTCTCTGTGTGTATCTGATGTGTGTCGTCAAATCCATTTAGTCGCCTCTCCAACGGGGTATAAATAACCTAAAGAGCAACAGGGGGATTCGCCCTCTATTATAAGTGTCTAAATATCAGCAGCTATTAGCCTGCTTGTCTCCCCGCGGCTGCTTGCCTTGTCCAAAACAGCATTACTCAACTGTCAGTCAGCCTCAGACGCTCATGCTGCAGAAGATACAAACTGAATAAAAACACAGCTCACATATTAACTCTGTGCAACAGGAAACATATTGAGGCGGGTAGTTTCGTTAAAGGAATAGTTTATTGTAACTGCACATGTTAACTTTTCTTGGCAGAGAGTTTGTTGAAAGGGGTGACATAACGCTCGTGTCTCTACTGTGAGCAGCTGGTTAGCTTTGCTTAGCACTAAGACTGAAAACCGCTCCTGGTATGGTAACAACATCCACAAACTGGCACCTCTAAAGCTCACTATATGACATGTTATATCTAATTATTTTAATCTGTATACAATCTGAAGAGTTCAACTTCAGAGCCAGTCGTCCACTAATCCGAAGGTTGGCGGTTCGATCCCCAGTTCCTCCTCGCTGTTGGGCAAGATACTGAACCCCAAATCGCGTGAGTGTGTGTGAGTCAGTCAGTTACCCATGAGCACTTCGCACCTTGCATGGCAGCCTTTGCCACCAGTGTATGATTGTGTGTGAATGGGTGAATGTACTGTAAAGTGCTTTGAGTGCTCGGAATAAATAAGTGCAGTCCATTTAACTACAACTTGAGTTTGATATGGACAGACCGGCACAGAGGTCTGAACTCAACCACATCCAACATTTTATTGCTCAACATCAGTGATCGACCTCACTAAAGCTCTTGTGGTTGAATAGGATGCCCAGGAAGAAGATGTTAAACAATTACCTTCAGCTGTAATAGGTGTGTGCGTACTTTGGTCATATAGTGTAGTGTACCTTCCCGAATTGAGGGGAATAACATTTAGAGCAATTTTTTGGTATTAAAATTAGAACAAGACAACAACTTTACAAACACAAGAGAACAAGACACCATATGTGCTAACACAATTCAATACTGTTATCTGGATGAGCCTGTTTGAGTTCAACTCAGCAGAGTGTGTGTGGGCTTGAGGATTGAGAGTGGGTGAGTAAGCGTGTGTGTATGTGTGTGTAGCCAGTATTGATTAATTATGCATAAAACTCTCTTCATAACTGCACCTTAGAAATGTGTGCTCTGCAAAAAAAACTCTATCTCTGAGGACTCTGTGTGTATGTGTGTGTGTACACAAGTCTGATAACTATAATTATTCAAAACTATAAAGGCGTAGCGCTCCTTCCCCTCCCCCGCCCCAAAATTCTGCTTATGACAGAGAATGAGAAATCGCAGCAGGGGAAACATACGCAACACTAATGCAACACCAGAGCTCAGAGAGGAGGAGGAAAAACAGAAACTTCTGGGAACATTTTTCTCTCTGCAGCAGATGTCATCTTTTCATTTTGTTGCTAATGATTACTTTGAATATTTATTTATCCTGTTTTTAAAGCCACTGCATCGCGCGCATGTGTGTGTGTGTGTGTGTGTGTGTGTGTGTGCTCGGCCACAGGCCAGGTTGAATGCACTGTCTAGCAGGCCTGAGCAGTCAATAGATGGAAACAATGCCAGACCTGACTAATCAATAGGGAGCAATCATGAAGAGAGAATGATGATAATCACTTAAACAGATTGGGATCATAATCAATGGCCGCACTAATTGTCCTCCATTACACAGCTGGTATTGGCACTCAGATTTAGCTGTACAATCAGCAGTGGAATGAGCTAAATGTATTGGAAATAAAGTTTCTTGGCAAACAACAACTTTGTGGAATCATTTATCAACATTGGTAGTTTCTTTCTAACATACAATCTGGAACTGTCTTGGATAAAATCACTTTGCAGAAGAACCGTGGAGATTCTTTTGGCAAATTAAAGCCATTACAAGTAGTGATAGGCTGATTAATCTGGCCGATTATGTAGCATTTTGAGATAATCGGCATTGACCGATGTCTGTGCTCAGGAGGTCGATAAACAAAAATGTCTTCAGAAACATCTGCAGGCAGGAACGATATTAGTGCTCTCTAAATATTGGTACTGAAAAACCAGTCGATCTTTCAATTACAAGATGAGAACATTTTACAACTCTGTCCCAGTGGTACTATCAATAAAAAAACTATTATACATGTCCACACACCTGAAATTGGTTCAACAACACATAGACTGCAGAAAACATTTCTACAAACAAAAACTTATTCCATCAGGACAACTGGAAACAAATCAACACAGGGTGGTTCTAATTTAAACAGAACCACCAAAACATGCTGCTGCAAACAGCAAAGTTAGCAGAACCAGAGGCTGATTGACTATATGACCAATGACAGTGACTGCAAACACGTATATAGTTGTAATTCTCTTTAAGTATTCTATAACAATAACATAATCATGCATACTGTGAGATAGCAATGCTCATAGCAACTCATCCTCCGACAGCACTCCATAATAACTGGTCCGAGAGACAGAGAGAGAGAGAGAGAGAGAGAGAGAGAGAGAGAGAGAGAGAGAGAGAGGGAGGGAGGAGTGGATGAAAAGGCTGAAGGCCACAGGAAGTCAGTGGGAAGGAAAGTTGAAGCTCCATGTTTTTCATTAAGATACTTCTCACACTAAATTGATCTGTGTGCGTATGAGTGTATGAGTGTATGAGTGTGTGTGTGTGTGTGTGTGTGTGTGAGAGAGAGAGAGTGATCAGGACACTCGCTCACACTTCCTCCCTCAGCAGGAAACTGTTTCCAGTTGGCGTGAGGATGTTTAGGTTTCAGGGGCTGTCAGTCTACGTGTGTGTGTGTGTGTGTGTGTGTGTGTGTGTGTGTGTGTGTGTGTGTGTGTGTGTGTGTGCTTACAGTTCATGTCACATGTGGAGTTCATGTTTTCACACCTCACACACTGAATCTTGTCTCAGTTGATGTCATCTCTCTCCCCACTTTCTTTTTCCTTTTTTCTCTTCCCTCCATCATTCCTTCTTCCTCTCATTCTTGGCTTCCCTCCTTCTTTCCCTCCGTTTTTCTCTTTCCTTTCACACACTTTCTTTAATTCTTGTCCCCTTGTTGTTCCTTTTGCCTTAGTTGTCTTTTGTTCACTCCCTTTCTCTCTCTCCCTCCCTCATCTGTTTACATATCTGTATGGTCGCCTGTCGTTTTTCTTTCTTTTCGCTTCATTCAGCTTCACTCAAACAGAAAATCACAACCCGACCACAGAAACGCACACAGTTTGTCATTCCAAAGGCAAACACTTCCCTCCCTCCCCTCCTCACACATCCCTTCAGCTGAGGCAGAGCTGACACACACGCGCACACACACACGCACACACACACACACACACACACACACAAAGTCAGACTGACCTGTTTGACGCGGTCGGGGTTGACGGTGGTCTGTGGCTGCAGGATGCTGACCGGCTCTGTCTTCTGGGTGCTCTGAGGCATCTCCCTCACCTTCTCAGCGATGAAGTCATGGACTCCGTTCAGCGCCTCCACCGTCCCCTGGATCAGACACACCCGCTCTGTCGTCCCTGCACACACACACACACAAACACACACATTGACGGAGAGGTTAGTGCATGAGAGTAAACCGAAGGCAAACACTACTTGGAAGAGATACAACAAGCTCGTTTAAAAAGATAATAGAAGCCTGTTTTCATCAGCTGTTGATATGCTAATAATCAAACCATTGCTTGTAAAGTCTTCTGTAACTCTGGCACATCATTGGATTTTATTGCTAAATTTGTGTCACTTTGATGAATGAATGTGTTTTGCCAACTTTTACATAAATTCGGGTTTGATATATATATATTACTGATTTGTTCCATTTAGGTTTTTCTCAAGCACAGGATCAAAAGGTTTCCACAGGTGGGTGAAGGTTTGATGTTGTGTAGGATGATGTTGTCCCAATTATGACTTGAACACTGAATTTTCTATTTCCATCACTTTTATGTGCAGTTCAATGAAAATTAAACCAACAGTGGCTCATACGGCTCATAACAACATTTGTAAGATAAGAAAAGATACCAAGAAACTGTAATGATCCCCGCAGGGAAATTATGTTGCTGCAGCAGCAAATAGTAACAGTAAAGAGAAAAAACTAAACACTGACTTATCAAGAAATGTAGTTGAAAATCCCAGTGGAGAAAAAGGAACGTATATAACATTTATTGTGGTATTTATAGCAGAAAACTAATTAAAAACTTGTAATTACACTTTTGATTGAAGCATGTTGAGGAAAAACACATTTTTGGAGAAGCAATATAACACACAATACTATTGTATTAAGTTGCTTCTCCAAAAATGTGTTTTTGATCGGCGCAGTAAAGAGAAACAAAGCAGAGAAAGACCAATGACACAAAGTCGGTCTGGAAGTTAAAGCTCACAACAACACTCAGAAAACATCAGCGTTCATATTTCCACTGCATCCTCTTCGCATGAACATATTAGTTTATGTCTGTTTCCAGGACTTCGTCCAATCAGGAAATCAATTCCCTGGTCAAATGAAAAATAAAACATGCTTCTGTGCTTTCCAAACGTCTGCTGCAGTTTGGGCAGAATGTGTGTGTAAGCATTAACTACTGTATCTTTAAGATTTATATCGGTTCCGTTTAAACTGGCTAAACTCTAAATGAAACAAATCAAAAAGCAGAGGAGGTTCAGAGGATTTACACTCCACTTCTACAGCAGGACAAACTGGGATTTATGTGCACTGAGAAAGTCAAAACACATTTGCGGGAAATTTAAGAAACACATGAAAGAAAAACTATATATTTGCATTTGCTCGTTCATATGTTTGTAGGTGTGTGAATATACTGTATTTTATAAACCTCATGTTTTTCCTTCTCCCCCTGTGACCAGACACTCAGTGTTTACATAAACTAAGCGTCTGAACTGGGGATGAAGTAGAAATTCAGACATTTAAAAACAGTCTTTAGTAGCGCAATCACTCATTTTTGTTGTTTTGTCTCTCTGCTCAAGAAATGAAACACTTTTCACAAGGTTTAGGCTTCAGTTTGATGATGTTTGCATCATTAAAAGATGAAAAGTGTAGGAATCATGGTTCTTTTCAAACATTTTTGGGGGACCAAAAGTAATCAGTAATTTCATAAATGTATAACATTAATGTGCATGTGAACAACCAGAGTGTTTTCAAGTTTTAAGTCACGTATACATAATCTTAGTTCTACCATTGTACAATATACTGCATGTTTTACAGGTTTAGTTCCACGCATCTTTCCTCTAGCGCCTGGCAGCGGTTGGGTTATTGTTCATTTCCTACAGAATGAAAACAAATGATCAGACTCTTGAAACCGAACATGAGGTCTGTATTATACTACATTACCTCATAACGAGGTTTCTTGGTAAAAACAAAACAGAAACAAAAATGCAGTCTTGATCTTTGACAGTTTAGTGTGCTCATGTATTTTCATACTTTACATAATGAATGAAACCAACGGCTGCCTGGAATCATAAGAAATACAGTCACAATCTAAAACACAACAGTGTGCAAAATCATTAGCTGTGGTGTAAAACACGCGCGGCTGATTCCTACAGACTAAAATCTGCAAAACCACAAGTGTGCTCCTTAACAGCTGGATATCGGCACTTTAACCTCATAGTTAGTCTTTCGAGCCAAAAGCAATGACAAACATATCACTCTCCTAATACTTTAAGACTTAAATGTTACAGGTTAATACTCTGAGAGAATAAATACATCAGTGCTGGATCCATAGAGCGTTGACAGACAGACGGACAGACAGAGGAGAATCTAGGCCAATGCAAAGCCTCTCAGACCGGCTGTAGCTCAACAACACACTGAAAGTAAATCTCTCTTTGGCTGTCTCTCTCTCTCTCCCTTTTAGCATTTATTCTCTCTCTTTACACTCTTTTCCGTTTTGCTTTCTCTCTTCCTCCCTCTTCTTTCCTTCTTCCCTCTCTAACTCGCTTTATCTCCCTTTTGTTTCCCCCGTTTCCTCCTCGTCCTCTCCCTCTTCCATCTCTCTCTCCCTTGACTCCAGTATTTAGTGGGATCTGCTCTTATCTCGTCTCAGCAGCGTGTAAGTCGGCGCTTCCTGTCTCCTCCTTCTCCCTGCCCTGTTGGACTGGCTCGGTTTGGCCTGGTTCGGGCCTCTGTGGCTGCACTGGGAACTGAGGGATTGGGGGAGTGAGGGACAAAAGCTATGTTGGGGTTGGAAGCTGGTGATACATCACGGTGCGAGGACAGAGAGACCAGGAAGTCAAATTAAAGACCTTTTTTAATACTGCCTTGAATCTAATTTAAGATTAATTTAGTTAATAAAATTCATAACCAGCACTGGTTAAAGCAGACTGAAGAGTCCCATTGGAAAGAAAAAAGAGCAGCTTCATTAATCCAAATTCTGCAGACAGCTTCCAAAATGGTGAAAATATTCCTTATTCTCACGACTGCGTTTGAGATATTTTTAATACTTTCAGTGTCCTAAACTGTGGACGAGAGGATTCCTGCACACCCCGCAGATGAAGAGGTGAATGTGTACAGGGTGGAGGGGTTGAAACAACAGAGGCCACAAATAAAACACACATTCAGGCATTTGCAGCATTTGGCCAACCTGGCCATGCTGGAGCTTTGTAACGCCTGTTAGCATTGTACTGAGATTAATTCCCATTCCTATTTTTACAGTCTGTCGACAGCAATGACAAACAGCCTCTGTTGACAGCTGAATGCTGCGTTTGGTCGAGTGACGACGAGCTAACAAATCACACAAACTAGATGTTAGCATGGCGTTTTGAGTTAGCCACAAGCTAACGCTTTGCTGGTAGACATTTAAGCCTCATTCTGCTTTTAATTCAGCATTAGTGAGCAGAATGACACGGCCGGAGTGTGTGTGCGTGGGTGTGTGTGCGTGTGTGTACTGATACTGAGGAAACTGGGCTTCGCCTCTCCCCGACAGCTGGTGCCCTCTGGGTAATCTGGACTCGTCCAATCAGAAGCAAGGATTAGCAGGCCATTGTCTTGGCATGAGTGTGTGTTTGTCATGTTTATGTGTTGTGATTGTGTGTGCATGCATTTGCATGTGTGTGCGTATGCTGAGTGTGATTGGAGCAGGAAAGGCCGCTCTGTCAGAGGAGACCATATTGAGGCTACTGTACAGCTGTGCCGCTGCAGCAAAGACCTGATTAATGTCATTACAAAATATTGACTTAAAGATCACTCAGAGATCAATTCATATTCATATAATACCAAACATGATTGACACTTGGGGCTCTATGTATCATAAGTGCATATACGAGCAATTAAACTCTTAAACGCAGTGTTAATGTGGCATTATGGTCCATCAAGGTGCTGTAGTAGTAACACTGTAGGTTCATGCGGTAAAGGGACTGATTTATAGTTTGGGATCATCACTTTTTTTATTTGCTTCCAATTTCTATTTAAAATTTAGAGCAGGATGGTTTAAAACTGGAATAAGACGCTTTTGGTAAAGAGAGGAGAGAAGAACTCCACAACAAGCAAACACGGCCCTGACATATTACCACCTTTGTTATGGCTAATGCGTCAGCAAACAGCTGTCGCAGACACATCCCGCAGACACGGAGTAACATTATCATTCATTTGGAGTCCTGAGATAAATATCTGGCTCTTTAGCTACTAGCTGTTGCACTTTCTTTCCCAGCTAGTCTGCAGCATTGTCTGTCTGCTCTCGAGTGAGCTTGTTTGCTGAATAAAGGTGTCACACTGAGAATGAACCATACAGCCAATGTGCTGTAAAGCAAAACTACGAGTTAAAAGAGGCTTAAAAGCTTTGTAAAATGAAGAATTGATGATAATTCTTTGTAGGTAGGTCCGTCCTTATGAAACACAATTATTTTCATATCTTATATAGTGGAGTTTTGAACTTATTTTCATCCAGATTTTATCTCAGTATCTGAAAGCTGTTATCTCTTGCTGTAAGAAGACACGGCAGTTCACACAAACAAGATCCTCCTGTAATGAAAACAGCTCAGAAAATCCTTCTGGAAACAGAAAGGGAAACCAAGTGAGGAAAAATACTGCTGCTGATTAAGATGACATTTGAAGGGGCAGTTTTGTGAATGTCTCCTCAATAAATGTGTGTTTTATTTTACTTTGGCTTTCTCATGTCCCGATGTCTTGTTTATCATACAGCAAACACACACACACTCACAGTCACTGACATACAAATGTTCAAACCAGTGCCAACACAACAGAATTTACACATCCCTCAGTGATCACGAGAGAGCTCCTTTGGCAGTAACTTCGGTACTGGTCCCCCTGGTGCAAGACATCACTGTGTGTGTGTGTGTGTGTGTGTGTGTGTGTGTGTGTGTGTGTGTGTGTGTCTTATGTGACTTTTGCATTTCTCCTATAAAATGAACCTCATCATTTGACATTTTAACAGTTGGAAGCTGTTTCCAAACTTGACATGCTGCAGCTGCTGAAGCAATATCTTTCCAATGCTGTTAAGACTCCTGCGTTTACATAACAAGACATTTTTTACGTTGCTCATGTAGAAACAAAATGTAGCCCGCA